AACTTGAGACACACAGTAACACATACATTCAAATACTTAAGGCAAATTATTAACCAGAGGAAGAGTACTGTCTCCTAGACAAATGTTTCTTCTACTTGGTACCTCTAATTCCTAAATCAATCATTGCACTCAGATCAAAGAATATCTAACTTCCTAATGTTACATCTGCATCACATTCTTGGTATCATTTTCAAATACTAACAGCTTTTCCATATGTCTGAATATTTCCCCAAAATTACAGTGCAAGAATTTTATGAACATAGCACCAGTATGAAACAAATTTATGAGCTAAAATGTAAAACACAAAACTTATTGCCATCGATTTAAACTGATTAACATTAATACAGCTGAATGCACTTCCACATTATCTACATGGAAAAATAGTCTATGCTATCACTTTTAATTTTACAGCTATTAGGTAGTTTTTGCCCATTACTATAACAGATCAATTATGCCATGAATAATAATTATCTCTACTTATCAAACCTAATATAAATCCAAATTTTCAAGTACTCAAGATTGCTCTATGATTCTAGATACTTTTCCAAATCCACAAGAATGCCAGCATTTGTGAAATATAGCTAGAAAATCATTAGGAATCTCACATCTAACTCCAACTCCCTAGGGAGGAATTGCCTCTTTAAAGACAGACTCTGGTCCCAGGAATCTTCTATAAAATCAATTTCCCATGGCAAATTCTCTTTTTTTTCCCTTTGCAATATGCCCTAGATTTTCTCCATACCCCTACTGGTTCTGGAACACTATCAGTTCTTTGAATACAATGTGAGCTTTTTTGTTTTTAAGCTGTGATTGAAATGGTTTTCCCCTATAAGTGAGGCATCTTGTATTTATAACAAGAAAAAGATTTTTTGATATCCCTTACGGATACTGAGCATTCAGTGATTTCTATTAGGCTTCTCCTCATCCTTTCTGCATTTGCATATGTATACTTTCTAGATAAAGATTGCTGCTGTTCAGTCATTTTCAGTTGTGTCTGACATTTTGTGACCCCTTGTAGGGTTTTCTTGGCAAAGGTGCTGAAGTAGTTTGCCATTTCCTTCTCCAGCTCATTTTATAGAGGAGGAAATTAAGGTAAACAGGGCTAAGTGAATTGCCTAAGGTCACCCAACTAGTAAATGTCTGAGGCTGGGATTTGAACTCAGGTCTTCCTGCCTCCAGGCCTGGCGCTCTATCCATTACACCACTTAGCTAGATATATAGCTAGACACCTTCTAGATAAAGGAACGTGCACTAAAGTCTTATTTTGATGTCTAAGGAGGTTAGCACAGAAATGACCCCAGGTTGGCACAGGCTTGACCAAGCAGAAGAGAAAGTCATATGGGTTCTACCAAGCAAGTAAGACTTTTAAAGTCCAGACCCAGGAAGAGAGGACATGCTTGCACATCTGTTATCTATGGACCAGATCAAGTAAGGCTGGAAGGTTGGACTTTGTTGCTGTTTAGTTGTTTCACTCATGTCCAACTCTTAGTGACTCCATTTGGGGTTTTCTTGGCAAAGACACTGGAGTGGTTTGCCATTTCCTTCTCTAGCTCATCTCACAGATGAGGAACTGAGGCTAAGTGGCCTACCCAGGGTCACCCAGGCAGTAAGTGTCTGAGGCTGAATTTGAACCCAGGCCCAGTGCTCTATCCACTGCTCCACCCAGCTTCCCCTAGGAGGCTAGACACCAGATGATAATTGTTTTTAAACCATAGAAATTCATGAGGATCAACTGCCGGCAACTGAGGAAATCGGGGATCCTTGTTTACCAAAAGAAATATAAAGAAAACCTTGTAAATCATGGTAAACATATAAGAGTTCATGCAGGAAGATTAGGCATTGTGAATCAGGACAATGCCACTCTATTTCTGTCACCCAGGGTTATTTCCTTACCACCACGATGCACCAAAGTAGAACTTCAGTGAGGGTTTCTTTATTCTTAACCATCTCTTTTTTATTATTATTATGCTTGTTTTATTCTGTAAATTAAAAATATATATTTTTTAAAGCCTGGTGATTCAATGGTTGTTATAGTTCCTATACCAATGGACATTAGAATCATTTGGCTGAAGTCTCCATGAAATTTTTTTCTTCTAATTTTTAATGGCTGGTTTTTATTTAAATTTAGCTTAGTTTTCATTTTAAGAAATAACCATTGAATTCCTAAACAAAAAAAAATCTAGTGTAACTGTTTTTGAGGTTTTTTGTGAAGTAAGCAAAATGATTATTTACAGACTCATACATTTACACATCTAACTTCCATTACAAGTTATTATTTCACAATGTCCCAGTATGCTCTAGCTGGACCAGTTTCCTTGGGCAAGGGGACAACTGAGTAGCCTTTTACCTTTCTCTTCTATTCTCATATTTTGAAACTGGGCTCTACCGCATGGAGTTCTTTTGGTGATGGTAGCTTTTGGCTGCCCAAAAGCCTATTCCTATGTTTGAGATGTAGACATAAGAGCCAAGGTTGAATTGAACCTGGTAGGAAAATAGACTC